TTCTCAATGAAGACAATATTGCTCGCTTTCAGTTTGCACCTCGTCCGCTAGCGCACATTGGGATTCTCGCAGGCGAAGCCACGTGGGTAACGTACGTCCTCAACGACATTTTGCTGGTTTTTGCAAGCCAATACTCGCGGTGGGCAGCACCGCTTAGCGCTTGGCTGGTGTGGCTCAGCCTTGTCATCCTCGAAGTCTTCTACCCGATTCGAGCCACCGCTGCGATCGATCGTGATTGCACGCGCGTCAATGTGGATGCTGGCATCATATGTCACAGTGGCGTCGTGAACCTCGGGTCCTTTGATCGCGTGCGGCTCATTCTCGTCCTCAATGCGGCGCTAGTACTCGCCTCGTATCTGGTAACCGGGATGTACCAGATCCGCAATCGACCACGCGCCATGGTGCAGCGCACAACGACACCATACTTGGTCTCGGCTGGCGCCGATGTCTTCTTGGCGCCAAAAGGAGACGCTTGGTCCATGGACGGGTCGACAGCAGCGATGTGCGGCTTTCTTCGCACGCAACATCGGTCCCGCCGCTTTGTGTTCGATACGAAGCTCTGGAGCATCTTTTACACGGACGAGATCGGTCCTGTCCTGGACATAACCAATGAACGCTGTGCTCCAGCATTGGTCCCCTTGCTCTCGGTCAAAGCCCGCTTTTTGCGTCGGTTTAAACTCGCGCTCGGCCTGCTCTATCTCGCTGGGACGGTAGTTGGTAGCACCTCATACCTCCAACTCTCGACCGTGAATTTGGCCAACGACCGTTGGTGGGCCACGTACAACAGCACGGGGACGCAAACCTTTCTCTCCAACTGGTTCAACCGACAGCTTGCTCTGCATATGACGACGCGATCGACGCGCCTTGACCTTTTGGAGTTTGCTGATCTGACCGACTATGCAATGTTCAATACGTTGGTTTCCTACATGCCTACTTCGGCAAGACTCGGCCAGTACGAGTCAGCAAGTGACCTTGTCATGATGATCCAAGGTCTTCGCTCCATGGACGCCTGCAACGCGCCGTGGATCGCTACCAGCTACTGCTGGCTCGACTTTGATCGGCAAATCGAGATGGCCAACACACTTGGTCGTCAAGCGCGATGTGACGCCAAGTACCATAGTAATGGCGCTGTCTA